TTCACCTCGGTGCAGAAACGGGCCATCCGTACCCTCTGGACCGTCCTGGATGCCATTGATCAGATGTGGTTACCCGTTATCCGTACGTGGCGCCTGAATGAGAGGCACTATGGGGCCCTCACGGGTTTGAACAAGGCTGAGACTGCGGCAAAGCATGGTGAGGCACAGGTGAAGATCTGGAGGCGCTCGTATGACATCCCTCCACCTCCCATGCAGTCCGATCACCCCTTCTACAGCACCATCAGCAAGGTAAGACCCGTTGCTATTCATCCATCTTGCTGGGAGGCTCCTAAAAGCCATCCCTGCAGCATGGTTTGGCTTCCCCTGCAAGGTTTCTGTCTCTGTTGCAGCAGCCAGAAGTATTATGCAGAGTGCTGAGTTTGTCCTAAGTTGAACCCCTGGGCATTGCACAGATTCAAAGTAGAGGGGATGATACCTCTGTTAATCATTAGGCTTGTGACCTATGCTTGGATGTTTGCTCTGGTCTCTTTACCCAGAGTGAGCAACATGCGGCTTTCCGTAGGAGAGGTTCAGAGCCCTAATTGTAGCTGAGCACAAGCTCAAACCTCAGAGGTGTTTCTTTGCTTCCAAAGCCAGCTTTGCCTATATGTAGCAGGTCCCCAGGCAGAGAATTTTGGGTGTGGGGATGAAGGCTGGGCTGCCACCTTCCCACACTGTCTTGGGCTGCTGTGTGAGTGTGGCTGTTCCTCCAGGACCGTCGCTATGCTGACCTGACGGAGGATCAGCTGCCAACGTGCGAGAGCTTGAAGGACACTATCGCCCGGGCTCTGCCTTTCTGGAACGAGGAAATCGTCCCGCAGATCAAGGAGGGCAAAAGAGTCCTTATTGCTGCCCACGGCAATAGCCTGCGTGGGATTGTCAAGCACCTGGAAGGTACGTTAGCTCTGCGAGCTGGATATTATGGGGGTCTCCCAGTTGGCACTGTGTGAGCAGAGCAACACATGATGCCACCTCTGCATTCACAGGCATGTCGGAAGAGGCCATCATGGAGCTGAACCTGCCCACTGGCATCCCTATTGTCTATGAGCTGGACAAGAACCTGAAACCCGTCAAGCCCATGCAGTTCCTGGGAGATGAGGAAACGGTGCGCAAGGCCATGGAGGCTGTCGCTGCTCAGGGCAAGGTCAAGAAGTGAGGGTAGGCAGCAGGCCAGCACATAGTAGAGCCCTCTGCTGTCCCCCCCACCCCTCTGTGCACACCCCCCACAACCGTAGGAACTTGGAGCTGCACAGCTGGAGCAGCGTCCCAGGATTAGGCCCGTTCCTTCGGGACCAGGCTTCCCTCTGCAGACAGCCTGGGGGCTTGGGGCTGCGTGCAAAGCTCAGATGTGAAAGGGAGCCCTGGCTCTGCCAGGCAGTGACCTCACACCTCTCCATGCTGGGATCCCAGCCCTCAGGCCCTGTATGCAGGGGGACGCGCTGAGCGATCCCTCATCGCGCCAGGCTCATCCTCTGCTTTGCTTCCCCAGCAGCTCTCGTCACTCGGTTACTGTAGTTTTGTCGCTTGATTTAGTCATCCTGGGAGTGGTGGGGCAAGCGTGGCACAGGCAGCAACCAAGATGGGTACCCTGTCTCCTCGTGGGTGTGTGGCACAAGGAAGCGGATGTGTAGACACGGGAAAGGTATTTTGGTGCGTGTGGTACTAGCACTTCTGTGCCTAGCTCTGCCAGCCCCTGCTTTAACTTACTGCCTTTGCACAAGGGCAGGGGAGGGCGTGGGTTAGCTGGAGGTCCGTGTCCACCACATGCTTCCCCCAGCCGAAGCCCATCCTCATCCTTCTGGTGAAGCAGGTGTTGTGCCCCATCCCACATGTGTGTCTGGCCCTGTCGCTGTAGCCTCCCCCTCTGCCTGTGCCGTGAGCCTGGCCTTAACACGGGGTCAGTGTAAGTGTTCAACAATAGCAGCTGTCTTGTTCCAGTTCAATAAAAAAAAAATAAATGTAATGCGCAGGAAGGAGGTGTCCCTGCTTTCTTGTGCCATGTGCTCCCAGGCACGTGTGTGTGGGAGGCCGCCGGCGGTGCTGAGCGCAGATGTGGGGGGGCAGAAGGCGCTCGGGGGGAGCGAAGCCAAGCTTAAAGCTCGGTGTGTGGCGCACACACACCCTCTCAGCACCAGAGGCAGGCGGGGCACACGTGGCCGGAAGGCTGTCCCGGGGATGGGCGAGGAGAGGAGAGCTGTCCTCGGCTCTGGGGGGAGACCAACCTGTGCTGGGAGCCAGCAACGCCCAGCCACAAAGCACAGCTCTCTGCTGTTCTCGCCTTGCTGCAGTAAAGTCACGGGGTCGTTCGCCTTCCCCAGCAGCAGGCTGGGAACACAGGCTTCCAACACAGCCTTCCTACTGGCCACAGCACCCTGGGAGCTCTGCTGGCCACAAGGCCAGCATGCTGCAGGAAGCCCTGGCTAGCCCTCTGGGCCGTAACTGAGCAAAGCAGGAACTCTCAAAAAATATTTATTACCCAGAAATAGAAAATCCATCCTGTGAGTGATGGCCCATCTGGTTGCTCCAGCCTCTTGAGTGTGCAGAGGCGGCTGGAGCCTGGGGGGGCTGTTCGGGCCCCACAGAGCCCAAACCCCTCGGGGGCTGCTAGGTCTGCAGGAACTGGGGCTGCACGCGGGCCACCTTACGGAATTCTTTGGTGTGTGTCCGCGGGCACTGCATCTCACGCCAGCTGATGGGCACCATCTGTACCCCTAGAGACACCACATGTTAGGGGTTCCTCTTCCCGAGATCCCGTTCCTCCATGCGGAAAGGGAGGAGGCAGAACAGTCCAAGCCCAGTGGCTCGCGCCTTCCCCCCGCCCCTCGTTCCTACCTGCCTCGCTGCGTGCCACCACCACTCCCAGCTCGTTCTCTGCCGTGCTCAGCAGGTAGTTGGACTGCGCATCACCCAGGGAGATCTGGTCAGGCCAGGGTTAGGGAAAGGACTCCCAGAGGGGACTTGAGCAAGCCTGCTGTCCCTGGCAGGCCCTCACAGTACGAGGGGAAAGGATACAACTTTGGCCAGGACTATGTCACCAGGGCGGAAACTCTTGTACACTTCTACCTGCATGGGAGAGAGTGGGTAAAACCACACCATGTTTCAGAGTGCCCTCCACCAGCAGAAAGTGGGGACAGCTGTGGTAGCGCAGTCACCAGCAGCGACTCACTGACCTTATCTTTCTCCGTGGCTCGAATATCTTCTCTTCTGAAAAAGGAGATGGAGGGATCAGAGTGCTTGTGACTGAAGGCAACTCACCAGCCCATGGCAGGAGCTGCCCCAGCCTTATGGCCAGCTCTCACGGGACGCTTGCCCAGTGCTCGGGGCAGAGATCCTGCCGGGGCAGCTGGCTCTGCGCCACCCAGAAAAGCCTTCCTCCCTCCCCCTCTGAGGACAGGGCGCTCGGAAACCCTGTCTCGCAGGGAACCCAGCCCTCTTCCTACCGTATGGTTCCCCGGAAGGTGGATTTCAGCGGCGTGGAGCCGACATACAGGATGTGCACCTTGGCAAAGCGAGAGTTAATGCTGCAAACCTGCACAGAGAGAAAGGGCAATCAGTGCCAGTGACAGCCTGCTCTCAGCTCTGAGCTCTCAGCTCTGCTCTCAGCCTGCTCCAGGCAGGGAAAGGGCAGGGGCTGCATGCAGGGAGCTCATGTTTTACTAAAACCCCTGGAACCAAAGGAGGGGGGGGCGGAGGGGGCACCCCTGCCAGTGAGCCTAGTGAGGAAGATGATACTTGTGCAACTCAAGACACACAAATAATGCTGAGAGCTGCTGTGATCCCTCTGCTGCTATCAGGACTGTAAGGAACTTAATCCCTGGTCTCTGCCACCCCTTTTCCAAGCTGTCCCAGGCACTGCCCTCCACGCACCCTGCCCCAGAAAGAGCTC